GCAACTTTGGAGCAACTTTTTGCGTTTGGAGCAACTTTTTTCAGTTCGAGCAACTTGAAGCAACTTTTTCATTTTTGAGCAATTTCTGAGCAACTTTTAGGCTTTTTACTAAAATTAAAACTTTACAGCTTGAAATATTGAAATGTTTACAACTTCATTTTCTGCGATATATTTCTGTGCACATTATGTATCAGTACATGGTAATACATGATGTGCACAGGCTCAATTAAATATTCTATGTAATATGCTGTAAATAATACACCCTTGAATGCATGCTGCTTCCTTGCTTTCCCTTGGTATTTGCTTGCTAGGGGACAAGGGTTGCCTGTGTTCTCTCGTCGAACCCCAAACTTGAAATAATTAGCGTAAGAAACGCAGAGCTAAAAGACAACACTTGCGATGTTGTTTTATTGGAAGATTTGTTATTCTAGGTATTCGTGTTGATATTTGTATGACATTTGTATTGCTATTTGTGAATCTTAAAAAGTTTATTGTTAATTACAAGAAGTTCATCCGAGCGTGCAAAAATTGTATAAATCTCTTGATTAACGTAATAGTACGGGCAATTTTTTGAATTTTAGTAGTAACTTTTTTCTATTTCGGGCAACTTTTGAGCAACTTTTATGCTTTTTAGCGAGCAACTTTCTAGTTTTAGCGAGCAACTTTTTTGGATTTTACGAGCACAATCGGGCCATGCCTATTCCCAGTGGCCAAATCCCAGTCCCAGCAACCCAAATCCCATTTTCCCAGTCTAAAAATAGATCAATCCCAGTTCCCATTTTACCCCTTCAGGGCCCTCCGTTAAAGTAGTTTGCGCTTAGTTAAGGCCCTGTACCCGGAGTGAACGCCTGAGTAGGCGTCTTGTTTAAAATTAAATTATAAAATAATTACTAAAGTATAAACTATAATTAGAAAAATCCTCAATTAACCATCCTAACTAACGATATCCAACACGCAAATATTTATTTAATATAATCAGCAAAAGTTGTACCAAAGTGAAATGTATAAGTAAATGTTCATATGCTTGTAGTGAACTAGAATCCACGCAGATAACCAAATCACAAGTTAGATCCAAGTGCTTGTGCTTTTTGAAGGACGTAATAAGCTCCTCTCTTGTTGATGAGTTCCTGGTGAGTGCCTTGTTCTATTACCTTGCCTTTTCTCAGAACAACAATACAATTGGCATTTTGAATGGTGGATAAACGATGAGCAATCACTAAAGTTGTTCGACCTTCTCGAGCTTTATCCAATGCATCTTGGACAACCTATAGATACAATAATTGGGGAAGTTAATTATAATCATTGTTACAGTTGCTATTTGAAAATTGAGAAATATATCCATCAATTTACACTACACACAGAATATTTTATCTCTTCACGCTTGCATTGAGTGTGCATTTGACTATAGCTTTCAGAAAACCTCAAATTGAATTGTGCTATTCAAACAAGTATTCAAACGTCTATTTTGTCTTTCGCTTTCATGTAATTAGTAAACAACCAGTATTGCTTTTCGTGCATGGTATATGTATTCTTTCGTATGATATTACCTTCTCACTTTCCGTATCTAAAGCCGATGTTGCTTCGTCCAGGAGAAGAATCTTTGGGTTACGAACCAGAGCTCGAGCAATGGCGATTCTTTGTTTCTGTCCACCCGAGATTAATGTACCTTTATCACCTACCCTGGTTTCATAACCCTAAATAAAGAAAACCTGTCATTTTTCGTGTATAAATTCGAACAATTCCTTAAAACTTAGACCATAGGAACCCAAACAAGCTGGTTTTATTAAATAAAATCCGTAATTAAAACGTTTGAGTATGCAATTAGCAATAAAATTGCTGTTAGAATCATGCATGCACGTAGCTAGCCTGCGTAGCAGGCGTTTAGTGCGGGCGGGAGAAGAAAGGGCGTCGTTAAATAAACGCCTGCCCAAATGCCTATGATTAATTTGTTCTTCTCCGAAGAATCTTCGGAAAAGCTTCCCATTGGTTAATCTCGTTAACGGAAGTAATTAGATAGATAGATAGATAGAGACTTTATTTAAAGAGGGTGACACTTAATAGTACGAAGTACTAATGAACTTGTGGCTCTCATAAAATTTACAAAAAATTAAGGAGTATATCTATTGTCTATTTACAACTTATATATATATATATATATATATATATATATATATATATATATATATATATATATATATATATATATATATATATATATATATATATATAAATTGAAACATTTTAAGATAACAAATTAATTCGCTCTGCTAAATAATTTGTAGTATTGAGCACTCTTTTATCTATAACGAAAAACAAAACTGTTTATATATATATATATATATATATATATCCACCACTGATTTTTTAACCATTGTAAAAAATATTTGCAAAACTACAAATATAAACCCGCCAATCTCCATAAATAAAGACACTTTAATTTATAGATACTAAAGTTTCATCTTCATTATACCAATCAACTGCCAATTTTAGAAAGCTTGATCATGATGAAAGCACTATCCACCTGCTTGGTAGATATTTGCTATCCAGAGTTTACTGATACAACTTACCCCAGAAATAAAATATGTAATGTCTAATTTACCTCATTTATAAAAAATCCTTTTAAAATATTTTAGTCATGTCAGAAATATCCAGTGAAAGTGTAAACTGACGCAGTCCGCAGTGGCGGCGCCAACCCCCCCAATTATTTTTTGCCCCCCCCTCAAAAAAATTATTAGTCACTAAGAGCGACTAAAGGCTACACAAGCGTTCTGTCGTTATCGGAAAATGTATGGCTTATAAGTTGTCATTACTCATTAGTGAATGTGCGTATACATGAAACTGTTTTTTACAGTTTCAATATTAGTTTGTAAATCTCTGAATGGTAAAACTTGCCAATACTCCAATAATACGTTTCAGCTTTAGTTTTGCAGAGTTAAATTCTCAAACGTGTAAGGCAATAATAAGATGAAAGTATCACGAAATTATTTGAATAAACCACATCGCATATATGGGGGGCGAATGTCCTAAAGAGGGGCGATATTCCTAGGGTATTCGCCCCACCCCCTGGGAGGCGATATTCCTAGGAATATCGCCACGTTTTGAGGGGGGGGGGAGAATTTCCTGGGGGGGGGGCGACCTTTTTAAAAATTATATCTTGCCCCCCCAAAATTCGAGTTTGCCCCTCAAATGCCCCCCCAAATTTGGAAGCCTGGCGCCGCCACTGCTACTTCGCCAATGAACGTATACTAGATCGATCGTTTTTTAAGCAATTTAAAACATTCGCAGTGCGTGTTTTATCAGACCATCTTTATATGTGATAAAACACTGCTACGCGTGCTGTAAATAGTGCATAAAATCTCTGCAAACTCCGTAGTTGCCGTAACCTGAGTATCAGGCTCTCGGTACTGAAGAGAGCCTGACACAATTCGCCTCTACGGGCTTTCCTCCCCCAGAATATCAGCCAATTAAAATTATTTCCGGTTGTAGCATATTTCCGGTTGTCCGCTACAGGTATGTAAATACGCAAATTTCGTTATTTGCAGTTTTATATAAATTTGAATAAATACGGGAAAAATCGGTATGTTTTTGTCGAAATATCCACATGATGGAATTCTAAGCGTAAACTATGCCTTATTCGGGGAACCATAGCTCGATGGCTTTTTCCAGGAGTCTAAAGAGACAACATTCGGCGCTCTGAATAGGATTTCTTCTTCCTCGGTCCTCGTGTCATGTTAATAGTTTGTTCGAGACAGCTATTCGCTTCAACTGTAACGGCAATTGATAAAACTAGAATAGTGAAGCGAATAGTGCGAATAGTCGACGAATAGTGCGAATAGTCGACGAATAGTACGAATAGTCCGCGAATAGTCGACGAATAGTGCGAATAGTCCGCGAATAGTCGACGAATAGTACGAATAGTCCGCGAATAGTCGACGAATAGTACGAATAGGCGACGAATAGTACGAATAGTGCAATAGAGACTTTGCAAGGCTTTGCAGCAGTGCTGTAGAACTAAATTTACCGGCGGGGGGGGCTCTGTTGACAAACATGAAATCGTGAAAACATTCGTCGACGTACGTCAATGACGTCATACGTCTAGTGATTGTCATCAGTGGCGCCGTGGCCGGGGGGGGCATGGCCCTCCCCTATTGTTGACACCCGTCGTAAAATTGCCAATGCTGCCGGAAATTGTCGGAAAATTGTCAAGGCTGTCGGAAATTGTCAAATTGTCAAATTGTCTACTTCCTGTTAAATATTTGTTAAAACTCAGTGGTCCCGTAATTTTTACCGATTACGTATGACGTCATTGACATCAACGAATGTTTTCACGATTTCATGTTTGTCAATAGAGCCCCCCCCCCGCTTCGGTAAATTTAGTTCTACAGCACGGTGGAAAGCCTTGCAAAGTCTCTATTGCACTATTCGTCGACTATTCGTACTATTCGTCGACTATTCGCGGACTATTCGCACTATTCGTCGACTATTCGCGGACTATTCGTACTATTCGTCGACTATTCGCGGACTATTCGTACTATTCGTCGACTATTCGCACTATTCGCTTCACTATTCTAGTTTTATCAATTGCCCAACTGTAACCTGAAGTTCAGGCCCTAATTTGAAATAGGGCCTGACACAAAACCTGTCTAGACTGTGGGACGCCCACATGTTATTTTTAGACACAACATGCAATATGATTGACAAGTGTTAAAGATATTTTCGTTACACAAAAAAATTATATTACATGTCCGCAGAGTGTGCATTTTGCTCTATAATTAAACTTAAAAATTCAAGGTACTTTTATATAAATAAGATTCAGACAAAGATTTAATTAGTCAGTTCTGTGCACGGCTAGACTGCCAAGCATTCTCAAGGTCTCAACTTGCTGGACGCGGATATTAGGGATATACTTTATTAAAACGGGCTAACAACAGCACGTTAACAATGAAATTCTCAATCGTACCACGAAGAAGGCGATGTAGCTCAGAAAACAACGCCGGTAGGACCTGATATTAAAAATAAGACTTTTGCCGGCGAAGCCAGTTGGCAAAACATCTTGGCTGTCAACAACAAGCTTTCGAATACATGACTAGTTTGACTGTTCTTTCGGCGTCGTGTGTCCAAAATTCGTCCAAGATTTTGATAAAGCCCTTTCAAAATACTGTTTGTTTGATTTATTTTCTGCCATAAAGCATAAAAGAAAAAGAAATTCGAAGAAATCGATAATGGAATTTGTACGTGCGTTTGATCTTTATATTAATTGTCGCCTTGACCGAGTTATTTTTAAAACTGTTGTTTATGTAAACTTGCAACCAATCAAAATCCTTCATGATGCTGATCAACCAATCAGATTTCCCGTCCACCAGGTGGACGGGAATCTCACACTTTAGATAGGTTTTGTGTCAGGCCCTATTCTGTGATTAGGGCCTGAACTTCAGGTTACTTCAACTGCGTCTGACACAGCGGCTATTGTCTTCAATTTCTGCCTGATGTTGGCATATTAGTTCGAGCGAGCTGACTACTATATCCTTGCAGGTCTTGGAAAACAGCTCGGCAATAAACTGATAAATAAGGCTTCAGCTTTTTGGAACTAAATATTTGAAAATTTCCGACACCACATATTTTCGTTCTATGGCGACTATTACGGCGAGATATTTAGACACGCTTTCTACTATGACTATGTAGTTTTAGTTTTATACCGAGTAAAATGTTGCTGCAAAAGCGTTTTCAACGTCTTTTCGTACTTATTTTGTCATTTTTATGCTTAATTAATTGAAAATAAATTTCAGAAATAAAGCACTTTTAACAGTATATGACAAAATTACAAATTCTATTTTTGGTGTTTACATACGCCGGTCATATATTTCCGGTTTGAATCACATGATGCGTTTTATCGTCTCTTAGCCAATCAGCATAACATCCAGGTTCTGGATGTTGAACATGGCTTTTGAGGCGTTTCGTGTCAGGCCCTCTTTCAATACCGAGGGCCTGAAACTCAGGTTATATAGTTGCCGAGCAAAAAGCATGCATGATGCTAAATATAAATCTCGACTATGATTGGATAATGGGTGAAGGTGCTAATTACAAAACGTCAATCATCCTTAATGGGCGAAAACAAATTGTCATAGCCAATTTGGGCAGGCGTTCCCTCTGTACCCGCCCGTCAGCTAAACGCCTGCTACGCAGGCTAGCACGTAGCGTGCTCCGGTCGCGCTGTGATTTACTATATAACAAGACGCCTACTCAGGCGTTCACACTGGCCTGAAAATAACGAGATACGTGCTATGGTACAAAAGGCAGGAATACAAATCTTAAACCGCAAGCAAATTTTATGTTTTTGCAAATCTTAAGGTGGCTCCCTAGGGTTTTATTTCCGGGGGTTACATTCTTCGTATATTTGTAAACTAAAACTCGTATGACTTCAAAATACGAACGAACGTTGTGTTTTATACGGAACTCTTTTTTGAAACAAAAGTGTGAACTTTGCTTTAGTTTGAAAGCATAAAAGAGTTGTAAAAGCCAAAACGATACTTGGATGTGATGTTTCAAAAGAAGATAATGTAAACTTTTTTTTTCAAGCGGTATTCTGGATGTTTTTTGAACCGCCGTACGCGAGGTTCGATCGTGAACATTGGGATATAAAGTTTCCTCAAGAATTTCCAGTGTTTTCTCCACAATCTAGCAGCACTTATGACAATATAGATGACTTAAATAATGAGCCCTCTACGGGTGAAATGAGCAGGACCGAAACTCCAAACATACCGCTATAAAAACTGAAATTTGAACGGGCATTTTGCGAAAACATCCGACGATAGTACTCGCACGGGACGAATTTTGACAAACATTTTTCAAATTAATACCAAGAAGTCATAACCGGTAATTACCTAAATATCTTTGCCATTTTTACATGTATAATCCACGCTTAGTTGACCACTAACCGACACAGTTATAAACAGTATATCAAACATAATTTATATTTTGTGATTTTAAAAAAGTCATGCCTTGTTGTTAATATGCAGAATGCATGTACACGTCAGTTGGGGTATTAAATTGTTCGCGTAAAAATCTAGTAAAAATTGCCAAAATTAATCCAAAATTTCTCCGTTATCCTTCGGTAAAATTTTTTAAAACTTTGCACATTTTTTAATATCGGTACAACAAGTGCAATATCCTTTTTTCTTAAAATTAAATCGATAGGAAAATTTTTAATATTGATTTTTGACGTTTTTTAAATTTTCTAAGAAACGTATCGATTTAATTTTTTTAAATTGAGGGGAAAAATTCATTATACAAGTATTATCTTTTATGCAAAGTTTTAAAAAATTTCACCGAAGGAACTTTTTAAAATGACCTGAAAAAGACAAATTTTGAGCTTTATTCTAAGCATGCTGTTGCCATGACAACATGTTTTTAACACAAAAGTAGCAATTTACAATGTTCAGGAGAACATTGTCAATGTGTCCAATAAATTTCGTCTTCATATCATGTAAAGTAAAGAAACAAGAATCTCCTGAATACTATAGTGTAGTAAATTAAAAAACCCTAGGGAGCCACCTTAAACCGCAAGCAATTTTTGATTTTTAAAAAAATAAAAGACCTTTTCGGGAGACGTAATGGAGATCGATGAACGTGCAAATCATGCCGACCTACAGAATCGATTTCCGGTTTTTCCAAACAGCGCGTTGTTTTCATGTGCGTTCCATGGGCCGCGCTAAAAATATAAATATTCTGTAAATACCGAAATAAAAGATGAAAATCTTAAGACACAAGCTTGAAAATAACACTATAACTAGAAGTTACTATCGCAAGGAAAGTGCTGCCTCATGCCAAAGGGATCAAAGGCAGCATGCGCAATTTACTGAATAAGGGGCTGTTTTTATGATCCCGCTTTGTCAGGACGAGATATGAGGCGGGAAAGGCACGATGATTTCGATGTATTGAAATAAGCTAACGGTGCACAATTCTGCAAAAAACTTCATTATTTTCTAGAGATAGATTTATACCCGGCGTACTTAATCGATAAAAACCGATCATCGGAAATCCAATCGATCAATCGATGGTAATCGATGTTAATTACTTAATTGATATCAGTTCACATTGATCAACCGATGACCAATCGATAGTCACAAAAAATTATAGCCAATTTTATCGATTATTGTCGATATTCATCGATTTTCATCGACAAAATGCTTTCGATTTTTATCGATTTATACCCTAAATAATCGCCGCGTGTCGGCGTGTTCGAGCTAAATGGTAAATCTGTTCTCATTTTTTGAATGTACACATGATCTTCTCTACAATATTTCAGTTCTGTTAACAAGCATTTAAACTTTTGTTTAACCTGGTGACTTATTTCAATACATCAAAAATCATCCCACCTTCCATCATGTAAACAGCCCAGGAAGTAGGAAAAGTGCAATTTGAATACCAAACACCTTCCACAAGGTCAAAGGTCAGCTAAATATTCTAATTCTACTTTCTTGGCATGGACAGTTTTACATATATGAATACCTGCAATGCTTATAGTATATACGTTCTTGCTTTTGTATTTATAATTATAATACTGTCAGTGGTGTAGTTAGCCCACTGATCTATGATCTATTAGATCAGTGAGCTAGCCATACCAACAGGTCATGCTACAGTATGCAAGTTTTTCATAATTTGCATTATTCAACTATTTGAATATTTTGTATTTATAATTATAATACTGTCAGTGGTGAAGCTAGCCCACTGATCTATTAGATCAGTGAGCTAGCCATACCAACAGGTCATGCCACAGTATGCAAGTTTTTAATGATTTGCATTATTCAAATAGATCCAGGTTTATAGCTGTGCCATGACCAGTTGCCATTGTAGCTAGCTTGCCACTGAATACTGTACAACATCATATTATATATAAACAATAATAATACTTGAATGAATCATTGGACATGTAGAATTTAATAATAATTCCATATATAGAAATATTAAGTCAGTTTTTGTCCCAATTATCGTTTTAATGCAATAATGACACCTTCAAGGCTACCCCTATTGCAAAACAACTGAACAATCTGCTGATGCTTGATGGAGAGAGTTTCAGCCCGGGGTGAAATTTCAGCCTGGTTTGAGCTGCCCAGGCTGAAATTTCAGCCCAGGCTGAAAAAACAACCGTTTAAATGGCTTTATTTTGCGTGTTTGTTTCATCTTTAAATACTTTACATATAACCACAGTCTCACACAAGTCAAATAGTCGACTAATCAGCGTCTGATTGCTTCAAAGAAGCGTAACAGGCTTATTGTCCTATTTTGTGATACTCAGATTATTTCACTCAGCCCGGTCTGACAGTTCAGCCCAGGTTGACTATAAATATAGCTCTGACTAAACTCAGTCCGGGCTCAAACTGCTCATGTAATCGTGATGCAATTTCAGCTCATTTTAATAACCCGGCTGAAACTCAGCCCGGGCTGAAAACTCTCCATGTAATCAGCCCCTAAGATTGTACTCAGTCAGAACTGCAAAACAGAAACTATATAATACAATTGTGAGCATTATCAAAAAATATAGTATACTCTGTCTCCGAGTACTGTAGTGACAGCCAGGTGAATATATAAATGTAGGCTGGTAGGATTATTTCATATTATGCTATTAAACAATGGACATATCACTCAGAGATACGTTTTTACACACCGTCATACCTTTTACAAACGTCGGTTGACATGTTATTTACATGTAACTGCTGGTAAGTTAATATGTGCAGACAACAATCCACACTGGGTTGCTAGGACTATCTTTGTGCAAGTCAGATAATTTTACGATACTGCATATTACTGCTCAATGCCTCAATTGATATTGCCAAAATAACAATAATAAACTCTCTCTGTGATTATTTATCACTTAGAAGTACGATGTTCCATCAAGCCTACGATCAAGCTCAATCAGATTTTTTACAAACTGATAAATATCGACGAAGTGACGAAATCCGCTTGTTTTACTGTAATACTATGAAGACTTGTATGCACCTAAAAATGCGGTAATAATTTAAAAACAGTTAATTCATTCGCTTCAAGTTTCAACGCGTATCGACCAATACACGTTGTTATTTGTGATCAAACTTTCATCTTACCTTGAAAAGCATTTTATTTAACAGTCAGAGACTAAGAGTCCATTTGCGATGAGACTATGCCATTATGCAGAGGCCATTAAGGCCTGATTCCACGGGCGCTTTTTCTCGGCGAAATGCGAAATATTTCGCCTGTTTCTTTTGAATTGTGGGCAATCAAGTAGAAATAATTTATTCGAGTGGTCGCAATTCAAAAGAAACAGGCGAAATATTTCGCATTTCGCCGAGAAAAAGCGCCCGTGGAATCAGGCCTTTATGCGTACATGTATTAATTATTAAACGTGTTTACAAATTGTCATTGTCCATGGTGGTGTTCGCGATGTTCAACCGGGATATTCGGAAAGTCAAATCGCGATCTGGAGTATGTTATTTTTTACAGTAAAGTTTCTGTGACGTCAAAATACGTCATAAATCTGATCATCCAAACATTCGAACCATTCGAACCACATTCGTACATGCAAATCAAATCGAGTTGTCGTTCGGCTATACATAACTCGGGCAAGCGGAAACGGACTGGTGCGAGAAAAACACATCGTCAAGAATAGGTGGCTGCCTTCGGCAGCAAATAGTGTTTTCGATTCTGGTTTCAATAACATTATCACGAAAAAGATATGTCCAAAGGGGCCGAAGTTATATTCGGCAAAATGTATGGCTAGTTTACATTGTTTGTTGTATTATGAAATATGATACCATACTTGTATTAAAATTCGCGTCGAACTAATGTTATTGTAAATGAGTAGACTTGCCACAAGTCGACCTCGAAGTTCGAGCTCGAACGAAATGCGTTTCTTCGAGGTCGACTTGTGGCAAGTCTAGCAAATGAGAACCATACAAATGATACAATAATGGTTCTAGTTCTTGTTGGTATTTTGAACGCACGCTTTATCTTTAGTATAGCTACCACAAAGCTTTTCGTGCGGATTATATTTCGTGGAGTACTATTAAAATATTATATTTTGTGGTTTTCGAGTCATTACACAAAGAAAAACACATTAATTCAACACGCAAGAAAGTCCAGAGTACGACACAACGTAAAATACATAGGAAACCGGCACAATTCTTTGAAAATTCAACGAAACTGTGTAAAATATAGTTTGATCACTCTGTGAAAAGCCGCCATTGCAGTTCGGAATTGTGCGCGTGCGTACAAGTGTATAGGCTAATAAACGAAAAATGTACCACAAGCATGGCATGAGTGGGCTATTACGTACATATATACGAGCTGATTACTATACTATCTAAATCATGGAACCGAGGGAATCGATGGCATTTTGGCTTAATCGTTGCACCCTGAGCCTGCGATGAGCTAACGCAAACTCGATTTCTCGACTACGAAAAAAACAGAAAAAGGGGGATTTAAGACACTTGGCCTTACAGGCCAGTGTAATTAGTGACGTATCCAGGACGTATCCTATCAAATCACAGCGCGACCGGAGCACGCTACGTGCATGATTCTTAAGCCGGTTTTCCACTTCAATCGTAACGTACCGTAGCATTTTCTTTTGTGTCGAAGTCATTAATTCCACTCTAGTGCTCAGGAAACAAAGAAACACGCTTCGCTACGATACGGTTGAAGTGGAAAACCGGCTTAACAGCAATTTTATTGCTAATTGCATACTCATTATGGATTTTATTTAATAAAACCAGCTTGTTTCGGTTTCCTATATGCTTAGACTGAATATAAAGATACGGCGCTCATGTCCTGGGAAAACCGCTCGAAATACAGTAGCTGGAAATCCTTTTGTAAACAACAGGTAGTACCCCTTGATTGCAAATTTTTGGCACGCCTTCAGAAATTAATAATTTAATCTTAAATTAATTATATATGCATGGATCAAGGTAAAAGCCCGTTTACACTTGCAATATCTGCTGCAATTTTCTTCTTCTGATGGAAAAACTTGTCATAGAAAACTTGCTCGTTTGTAACCGGCTTTATACGTTCGACAACTAAGAGGACCAGTAGTATAGAACTGAAATGCTAGTAACAAGGGGGATTCTCCAAAGAAGGCAGGCCGACAAGGCATTGGGGGGGGGGAGGTGAAAAGGCGTCGAGGGTCGGCATGATAAACATGAAAAGTTCCAGTATTTTTTATTTGGAAGTTGTTCAAAAAGATATTTTTAAAATCATGTTGGAGCCATATAAATGATTTAATGGTATAGGATCATATAGTAATCAATTACAGATTACTAAAATGATTATCGTATCATTTTAACACTACAGTTAATTGCAAATGACTCAAGTTAGTCCAGCGGATATGCACAGATATCTGCGAAAATCATGCACTTTGTGAAGAAAGCACCATATTCACAGGAAGTGTACATAGACTTTAACATGATAATGAATCTTAGATATGGAGGCATCACCAAAATTGATGCTGACAGCTTAAAATTTAGGATTTCTTATATTCTCTTATTAATCTCTTATACTATTAAAAATTGTGAAATTGCACGTTCACATATAGCAAAAATGACATGCGTCATTAGAAAACTTACAAAAAACTGCATCTAAGACATTTAAGCAGTTACTTTGATTTTCCAACTCCTCTGGAGTTATGAGCGGTTGAAAATATGTTTTAGGGCTAGTGTCCAGGATTTTGGCGGGATTTTTGCCCATTTATCACGTTTTTAAATAGGAATAACTGGAAAACCGCTTGGAAAATCAATCAGCTGTTTAAAAGTCTTATATGTAGTTTTTTGTAAGCTTTCTAATCATGCAAGTCATTTTTGCTATATGTGAACCTGCAATTTCACAATTTTAAACAGTAATAGAGTTAAATAAGAGAATATAAGAAATCCTAAATTTTAAGCCGTCAGCATCAATTTTAGTGATGCCTCCATATCTAAGATTCATTATCATGTTAAAGTCTACACTTCCTGTGAATTGGGTGCTTTTTTCACAAAGTGCATGATGTTTTACTTTTCAACATAAAATTTTCAACATAGTCAACATAAAATTTTAACAAGGGAGGCTCAGCCCCCCTGAACTCCACTCTACCCTGAAGAGGACACAACTTACGTCTGTCAAAGAACTGATGAAATCATGAATGTTAGCGTCCTTTGCTGCTTGTATAATTTCCTCCATGCTAACGTCTCGTGTATTGTCTCCATACGCGATATTCTCACGTATTGTTAAATCAAACAACACAGGTTCTTGAGATACAATACCAATCTGGCGTCGCAACCACTTAAGATTCAATGCATTTATTTCATTGTCGTCTAATGTCTGGAAAAAAAGTTTAGGAAATTTAACGTACTTCAAACAATGTCTCATGAGTAAATCGTACATTTGTTGAATTGTATTCAGTGAATTATTCGTATCGGCACTACAGTTAATATGAAGGTCGGTTAAAGCAAGTTTCAGAACCCAGGATGAAGAATTGGTAAAATATCAGAATTCTTCACCGGACCCGTTGGAAGTGCCGGGCCTTGGGTATTTAGTTTTTATTCTGTCTCATGCACCCCTGCTCTGTAGCAATGCATGATGAGTGCCATCAATGAAATGGAAATATGAGCAAAATATTCAAAATGGCATTTATTTCGACACGAGTGAAAATCTTTTTCAATAATTTGCCAGAGTGTGTTTGTAACTGTATTTACTTGTTATCTCTTTATAAAAAATTATTGTGGGACACATATAGTTGAGAACTGTGCAAATACTAAATATTAAACTTACAATTGAACCAGCTTCTGGATTATAGAATCTTTCAATAAGTGCGACAGATGTACTCTTGCCACAGCCGCTACTACCAACCAAAGCCAATGTTTCTCCAGATTTTACTCCAAGATTGAGACGACGCAAAACTTTCACACTTTGCCTGGCTGGATATCGAAACTCAATCTTTCGAAACTGAATATTTCCCTTTACACCATCCTGGGAACAAGAAATTGATTGAATGAGAACTCATTGGTGTACTTTTTATCCCCGAAGACGTCTGCTTAACAGTGCGGGCTTATAAGGCTGCTTATAATAGTGCTAGATCCGCAGCAAATTGTATCATCATAACATCATGTGAAGTTTACATTTTCCCCTCTGTCTTATATATGGATGAAAAATGTATGTTAATTAAACATCCGACAGTGACCGATCAAGCACAAAACTGTATATACAGGTTGAATATTTTATCAACACTGTAATTTAAGGGAATGGACCAATTGGAACACTGATGTACATGGGAACATACCATAACAGGCTTCCTATAAAATATTCCTATATTGGAGCCACAAAAGTCACATGCAGTTATCGACTTACTGGTTTAACACCCCTGTCAGAGGCACTGTCAATTACTGGTATTCTGTTGAACAACTTGAAAAGATGAGCTGCACCAATTCTTCCTTTGCCAAAATCTGGACTCAACGCAGCCAGTTGACCAATCATTAATGAACCCATAATGATCGCCATTAGTACTCTAGGAGAAATCGTTTGATTTGGTATAAATGTATGGTACGAGGCAATTAGAAACGCGTACAAATGCTAGTCATCTATAATATAGGGTATTAGTATGGATTGCTTTACATTCAACTTTATTCTAGTTCCCCATGATTAGTAAGTGAATTATTTATATCAATTTATCTATAATGATTGATTTAAATTATTTAATGATTGATTTGTTTATAATGATTGATTTAAACTTTTTAATGATTGTTTTGTTTATAAAGATTGATTTAAATGATTTAATGATTGATTTGTTTATAATGATCCATTATTGGAATAACTAGTTTACCCACAGGGTAGTGAATGCTGCCTTGGTATAGCATTGTTCCCAAATCTTTAATATTTTAAAGAATAAGAGTAAGAAATATTTGTAATGAATTGGAATCATCCATAATTTATACACTTGAATGTGCCGTATGATAACTCGGCGCTCGAAGTTTCGTATCGAGCCGAACAGATACGATGGCTAACAAGAATGAGTGTACTTATCAACTTATCTAACGCGAGGAAAAGATCAAAATGGCAGGTATGGCTGTGATATCTAGTATATAAAATTGTATAGACAATTTGCCTACAAATACTGCTAGGTCAAAACGGCCCCGCTTCAATAATCATATGATTTAGACCAGAGGTTAAAAGGCAATGACAATGACTGCGTCTCACTAAATTTGCGTGTTTAATAATGTTTATCAAAGAAGGCAAAAATATATACAAGACAACCTCACATGTGGAATCTGTTCACTTAATACGCACTGCCTTGTGATGCAGTAGTACAAATACAATATATATAATTAAATCATAGGGCACATTCAAGATTTTAATATCGTATTTCAGCCGCGTTTATACTGCTTGGCGCGCATTCGCTGCGTTATATTAATTTATATACCTATTATTACTAATAAATCAACACTATATGATAATATAGAACTCACAAAGTGCAGTCACCTTTTTATAAATAAACCATGTCATTGCATTAAAAAAAAAGCATGTCATTGTCATTGCAGACCAGAGGCAAAAAGCACAGCCACATACCAAATTTAAGCAATCGTGAGATTATATACATGGAAAGAATATGGAAATTATATGTTAAAAGCACCCCGCATAATGAGGAAAGCACCGCGTATAATGCTCGAACCACCGCATATAATGGCGAACGCACCACGTATGATGCTCGAACCACTGCGTATAATAGCAAAAGCACTGCGTATAACGCTCGAAGCTATGGCTTTCCATAAAAGCAGTGTTGCCACTCGGATTTTTCACATTTCAGTATATCAGTGACTAAATTTCACTATTTTGCCGCACATTTCACTACATGGCAGGTTTTTGTTAGATATCGACCTGATATCGATCGCTAAATGATAACAAACCAGTAAGAGTGTCTTTTTATTAACAGAATAACAGATAATGTAACAGACCAACAAAAAATAAACAATTTTACAATTTTGTTTTTGACCTGGCCACGAATCGGAAAAATTCTGCATTCTCCAAGTTTTTGCCTTCTTCGAATTCGATGACCCTTGCCCCGGTTCCACGTGCTGCTGGTCTTCAGAATATTCATCCGCATCAATGTTGTTTGTTGTCGACGCCATATTTGCAAATTCAGAGTTGAATAAATTAACTAAAATAATGAAGCTCAGTGGCCACGTGCTGACGTGAAACTGGATACTAATGTCTGGGCCCCCGGTAACTCGCGCTAATTTGTTTTTCATGTTTTCTTTATGAATACGGGTAGATGTCTAATATGTAAAAATTAATTGTTTGTTTGTCTGCCAAGTTAATATTTTCCTTAAACTTTTCAGCAAGGTTTATTTAACATTTTCATCAGCATTTCACTACATTTCAGCAATTTCAAATTTCCTTCACTACATAACTACGCTCGGACTGATTTCACTACAAATAGTGAAATTTCACTACGAGTGGCAACGCTGCATAATAGAAAACCAAAGATGAAAGATGATCGCATTGCTTGTTTGCCTTATGCCTGTTTATTAGGCAAGAATAGCCTGCCGGCCTGGAAGCAGTGCATTGTGGTAGGCCGAAATACGCCGAAACGATCGAGATTTCATCTGCATATATATAGTACATATACATAAAGTTTAGGTCTGCTGCCTTGCTCGCTCGCTTCAGGCTCGTTCGCTGCGGCAGCAATAAAAATAACAATACATGCGATTTTTTGCTGATGTTATTCTGACTGTCTCTAAACTGGGCAAGCTGAAAAATGCTTGACCGCAGTGAGAATCGAACCCGCAACCATTGGCTTTCAGCGCAAACTCTGCAAAGGTCGCGGGTTTGATCCCCATCACGCCAAGCAATTTTTCAGCTTGCCCGGTTTGACAGTCAGAATAACATCAGCAAAACACCTGAGTAAGAGTTCAAAGACCACAGCCAGCAGACGTTAATAGACTTAATAATACATGCTTCGAATTGGTAACAACTTTCATCCATCCAAAAGAACATTAAAATATTTTTGTGGCGTTTATGATTGATGCATGTGCTTACTTCATGACGTCAGGAAAGTCCATTTCGTCATCATTGACAAGCTTGCCAGCATACAACATGGACGCCGCACTGCACAGATTGAGAATCCATTGAGATGTACCAATTGAAAGACCACTGTAATGAGCACCTCTCTTGCTTTTTCTATATAAATGGACAGATTACTCATCTCATGCTTATCGCTCGGTCAATACAACATGACCTTGGTTTAATATCTCGGTCAGTAAGTTATTAAATTAATATTAATCGGCAAATAGAAAAATTGAACTTTGACACGCTATATAAGAATTATACTTTATACACGTTGAAGACTCGACACACGTCCACCATCCTGTTGAACAAGTACATGTTAACGGGTTGTGCGTTAAAACATGTTCAAAATGAGAACTGCATTGATACAAGTTGATGAAAGACTTGCAAGTCCGTAGCGAACACGTCTTGTTGACCAAATACGTTGGAAAGTATAGTGCTGAGTAAGTACGTATAAGTAATTGGGGGTAATGATCCTTACTTGCAGCTGAGAGCTAACTAGTTGAATTGCGAATGACATAGCTCAACCTGACCGAGCCACCTTACGACTCATGTCAGATCACGGAGCACAGCTACGACGGAAGGGTCAATTAGGGGCTAATCCCAACCAAAACCAAAACTTTAATTGGTCGATAGAGATTCCACTACCTGAAAAGGAGTTAACAGTTAACATGGAATTTTGCATCTCTATCAACAGAAGTTTTGTTATCATTGGAAATCAGCCTCGGTTGACAGGGTTAGCATGGGACCTACACTGGCGCAGACCGTTCGGATTTAGTCCCCAACCTACCCTGTCAACATTTCTTGTGGGGAAAAACTGAAGTACCCAGAGAAAACCCACGACTTTCAATAGACCGTTCACTGACTCTTTTCACATATGTGTCATATGTACGTGCAGCAAGTATCCACATTCAGATACATGCAGCTGTTCTCCGCGCGAAGCCTTTTCCACATTAGGGAGTTTACGATCTACGACGCGGCCGGCTCGACAACGCGCTTTTAAAACAAAGAAATTTGGTGTTTCCACAAACAATGGTATTATATGTTTTATCGCAGATCGTAAACTCCCTATTCGTGATCCGCTACGACACAGTGGAAGTGGAAAATAGACTTAATTCAAGAACATGTGGAAGTACTATATCGTTCTGCATTAGAAAGATGGAAAATATGTAAGATCAAACTCACAAGAAATGCCTGTCAGCAACTTCAACATATCTTTGAAAAAATAACTCTTCTCTTCCAAGTGATGCAACTGTTTGCATGTTCGAGATGGTCTCGATCGCGATCTAAGCGAAAAAGCAAAAGTCAATTTAAAACACAATTATATAGAATTAGAATCGCAATGTCAGGAATATCCCACGGTGCACATCCTATCGCGGCCTTGATGTTAATGTTTCAATGTTTCAAGACATATCATCAAAATACAGGAAATATTCTTTGGAAAGGTTTGTTACGTTAGGTCAAACAAGGTAGCTAAATGACTTAATGTACTTTATGTTCACAAGACAAAGGCAAACGAAACATGTACTACTATGACATAACGGGGGGGGGTGCCTCCCCCAACAAAAAAGAATTAGAAAAGCAAAGAAATTCGAGCAAATGCTAGGGAAAATCAACTTACAAATTTGGGCAAACTTTTAAGTGCCACCCCCGGAAAGGATTGGGCCTGTACGCTTATATATCCGACACAAATAAATCCTGAAAATGTTAGACATCTTCCATTTTTTTCGAGGGTATAAGTGACTGAGCGACTGAATGGGAGAATGATGACCCAAATTCTCAGAATTACCGCAAACTGTTAACGTGGTGCACCGCGGTATTAAAGGGAAATGGCAATATATTTTCTCATTTGAAGGAACTTGTAAGATCCCTCTTGTGATGTCACCAAAACTACTGTTAATGAGATCAAAATTGTATCCAAGATGGCGGACATCTCATTACTTCAAGTAAAAATATTTCAAGATGTAAGCAAGATATGAAAAATCGGTAAAAGAAGTTCTTTCAAATGAGAAAATAAAAATTTATATTGCCATTTCCCTTTAATAACTATCAACATAGTTACCTGTCCGCTTTCTTCATCTCCGCCATATCTGGCTTTCCCGCCAAGTAACAACATGGACAAACTTCCAGCAACGACAATAAATGGAACAAAAATTGTAATAACAAGACTTAATTTCCAGCCAGATAGATATGCGACTGATAAACAACCAACAGCTGTCACTAAAGAAGAGATTGCTAGACCAACGGTTGGACCAGTTGCCTTTAAACAAGTTAGAAACAAATATGTTATTAAGTTCTTTGTATGTTTGCATGGCGATAAAATATAACAGTTTTGTTTGTGGAAACACCACGTAAATTTATTACTGCAAAGCTTTCGATTCGTAAGGCCGGATCTTCATCAGTGCTAATAACAGTGTTACATACAGAGACCGTAACTGACCGTTGTAAACACTGCGGAAGATTGCGTTATCATGTACCCACTTTTTTTCAGGCGACCGGGCGAAAAATGATCAACTGCGCGTGCTCAGCAAGTTTAAAGTGAGTCGTCATCAGGTCGTCATCCAATCAGATGCATGCATCTAGTAACTTGCCGAGCATGCGCACAAAAAAAGTGGGTACACTAGTTACGTATCTGTATGTCTCTACTCTGTGTTCACACGCTCTTTTTATATACAAAAGTGTCGTGATCTGTTGGCTCGCGTCATTTGAAATTTAATTAAACGGCACATCAACCACGTCATTTCAAACGTAGTGAAGTGACTCCAATTAACGCGCGCGCATCCAAGACAAGAGAAATTAATTTTGCACATTAAAGAGAGCACGCCACGTACTATCTAGTGGCGTTCCCTCCTGATCTATAGTATTGTGCTTCTCGATTTCAATTGACTCTCTCATTTTGCTTCGTCCCATTTTATACGATGGTCGTAAGTCCAAGTATGTTAGCCACCGCAGATTTATCTTGCTCGGCTTTCTCGTAATTCATCTTGTGTTCCTTAAGACGTACTGAGAGATTTCGACCAGTTTCACCAATGTAAACCAGACCACATTCACAAGGAATGCGGTACACACCAGGTTTCTGAGATTCATTCTGAGATTCATTTGCGTTGTCCTTAACGTTGACGATGAATTAGAACATTTAAGAAATGTTCTAAAAATGAATGGTTACCCACGGCATTTCATAGATAATGCTATGAAAACGCCACAAAGTATACAGCAGAAGATTGAATATCAGTCGTCTGTTTGTCTACCATACATTGGTCCGGCTTCACACAAAATCGAAAGAATTTTGAAGAATGAAGCAGGTATAAAGGTATACCATTCCAGCGAAAATAAATTGTTTCGAGCTCTTTGCACACATAAGGACAACGTAATGAATCTCAGAAACCTGGTGTGTACCGCATTCCTTGTGAATGTGGTCTGGTTTACGTTGGTGAAACTGGTCGAAATCTCTCAGTACGTCTTAAGGAACACAAGATGAATTGCGAGAAAGCCGAGCAAGATAATCTGCTGTGGCTAAACATACTTGGACTTACGACCATCGTATAAAATGGGACGAAGCAACCATTTTGGCGATTGATAGTCATAAGTTCTGTCGCAAAATGAGAGAGTCAATTGAAATCGAGAAGCATAATACTATAGATCAGGTGCGAAAGCCACTAGATAGTACGTGGAGTGCTCTCTTTAATGTGCAAAATTAATTTCTCTTGTCTTGGATGCGCGCGCGTTAATTGAATCACTTCATTACGTTTGAAATGACGTGGTTGATGTGCCGTTTAATTGAATTTCAAATGACGCGAGCCAACAGATCACGATACTCTTGTATATAAAAAGAGCGTGTGAATTAAATTAAACAAGTCACATATTATTAGCACTGATGAAGATCCGGGCTTACGGATCGAAAGCTTTTCAGTAATAAATTTACGTGGTGTTTCCACAAACAAAAACAATTATATTTTATCGCCATGCAAACGTTCAAAGAACTTATTAGGAACAAATGTCTTACGCTGGAATGTCATTCCCATAAAATGACCGTCATTTGAAACCACATTCTGCTGTATTTGTAGTAACAGCACAACTGCTCAAGGTCGCAACTAAGGTGAATAATAGGGATGTAGTAAGTTTTAATACTGATAACTGGTAAATGACTTTTTACATTTTGCTCACAACCAAAGTCCAATTATATGGAGCAAGTATAGAATATCCAGACACTTTCTATTATTCACTAAAAGTTATGAGCAACAAAAAATTTTATTGCTTCATCTGAAACACCAGAAAAAAATTAGCCGATTGCCCTTTTCATGCCCTATTCTATCTCATCTAGTTCCGAAGTTATAAGCAAAAATGTGCAAAACATAAGTTGCTGATTCAGCACAACGTGCGACGTCATTAGTTCGGTAAGTATGCTTAATGCATACTAAACTGAAGCATAGCTCAGTTATCATGGGCCCAAATCAAATGAAATATTGCATACTGATTGTACATGATGAGACGCATTGAAAAACACTTCTAATTTTCTTGTCAAGGTAACAATGTCGTTCCCAGGCACCTTGCGCCAATTTTATAAAACAGGTATTTTTCATGGTACTTAAGAATAAAATAATATCAGAAGTATGGGTACCATACCTATGCATGCCAAATCGAAAATGACATACACATAGATAAGTGCGACTAGTTATTCGGAATCAGTGTGAGGGGCCTGGAAACGATTGTGTTGCCTTGACAACCAACTTAGAAGTATTTTTTCATGCGGTCATCATATACTATCTGTATGCACAATTTCATTTGATTTGGGCTAATAATAACTCAGCTATGCCTCAGTTTACTATCAACAAAAATACTTACCCAACTAATGACGTCACACGTTGTGCTGAATCAGCAATTTATATTTTGCCCATTTTTGCGTATAACTTCGGAATCAGATGAGATAGAATAGAGAACTAAACGGCCAATCGCCTTATTTTTTCATGCTCTTTCAGATGAAGCAATATTTTTTTTTGTTCCTCATACCCTTATAACTTTACCCTTGACAAGTAAAATTGTCTGGTGTTGGACAGAGAAAAATAAAGTATGCCATATTTGATTATCCCGTTGGTTTGCAAGACTCTTCTTTGGATAGGCAAAATACTAAAATTGGGAGCTATGGAGAATATTTTAGGGAAGAGGAGGGGGAACATTTTCTCCAATTTCTTTTAACATCAAAGTCATAAACCAGAGTAATGAGGCGATAAAGAAAAGAATACCTGACTGTAAAATTAATGTAATCCAATTTTCTTGACACATACAGAGAGTTAGGTACCGGGTAAGGTTAGCATTTTCACACTTTTCTATTATCATTATTTATTGGATGAGTCAGAGACCAATGGTTGGAATGAGGGCAGTTAATTTGTAAATTTTGCATGTATTCATTTATCGACTTTTGACTACTGTAATAGTCAGCCAGTTAAATAAGTACTTTACTGAGGGTACAGCTTGATGATTTTACATGTCAAAGAGAACTCCAGTTATGAAAGACTGAATATTTTTTGAGCAAGCTGGAATTTTGAATTTAGTGAAGGATGCAGATTTATAACAAAAACTGTATCAGGCATGAAGGCGGGTTTATATCCAAAAGCGAAAGCTGGAGGAACCATTAGACGAAGAAAACTAATTATACAAACACACAGTGCCTTTTTTAACTATATATCTGGAGGGGGGTGGGGGGCAATTGCCATAGATATAGGAGATCTAGATTGCTAACGCATACCTAGCGCAGGCGGGGCCTACATGATAAATCCAAGATGGCGGTACAACAGGGCAACAAGACTATAGATTCTATTACGAAAATCAGGATTTTTGCATTTTTTGCCGTCGCATTGTTTCGAAACTTATTCGGTCAAATTTTATGGTAAAGAGAAACTTACCGCGAAGATTTTGAGCATATATATGATTGAATTGGATGAAAAATCGCAAAATTATCCAGCGATAAAAGTTCTTGTGAAATGGTCATTTGTTCAGTTGGAGCGTTTTATTCCCAGAAATACTGTGCTATGTTAACATCTAGCCTTGTGAATGGTGCATGCATCTAGCCTTGATACATGCATCTCTCATCATCATCTGCTCTGTCCTCATAATTATGAAAAATGAGCTGTTATGTACCCCCCCCCCCCTCCTTGCTTGTTAGAGAATTAAACTGATGATAGCACTGGATGAGGGTCTATCATCCATGGTCTGTTATAATTTGCTTTGTATGCAAATAGTGAGCGAAAATTAAAGCAAAACTGTACAGGTTACATATATTGTACTATATCAGTACTATACAAGAACATTTATCGCTGGATAATTTTGCGAGTTTTCATCCAATTCAATCATATATATGCTCAAAATCTTCGCGGTAAGTTTCTCTTTACCATAAAATTTGACCGAATAAGTTTCAAAACAATGCGACGGCAAAAAATGCAGAAATCCTGATTTTCGTAATAGAATTTATAGTCTTTTTGCCCTGTTGTACCGCCATCTTGGATTTATCATGTAGGCCCCGCCTGCGCTAGGTATGTGTTAACAATCTAGATCCCCTATATCTATGGCAATTGCCCACCAGGGAATGAATTCCCACCCCCCTCCAGTAAAGCCATTTCTGCCCCCGAAGTGCGAAGCAGAATTGCTCATGATTGCTGTCAGAAATGCAGTTGATTTACTTGATAATGAGATTATGCCCTTCCATAACCTCCTCCACAGCCTCGTCCACATCCATCTTGTGTGTAATTCATATTGTTCTTCACCGAGTATTTCATAATAGCGATAGATTTCATGCAAACAATCCAATATAATGCTAGCCTTTCCATGAAGCCTTGCGACTATTTAGCACTCTCCTCCACAGAGGCGTTGTGTTTTGTTTTTGGGAGGAAATTTTTTTCTTAAAAATATCAAGTTATATTAAGAGCCCCCCCCCCCCCCCCCCCCTCCCTTCGCAGACTAAACTGTAGAGAAATTGGAGGAAGGTGTACATGTTAAGCATGCCTCGAAGCTGAAACTGATTAAGTACGTCTCGACTGGAGGAAAAGACGATATACTGAGGAACTTGATTTGTGAAATCTCGTTAAAGCAGTTGTAGATATGGTTCCAAGAAGAATAGATTTAGTTTAGATTTTTAACTGTTAAATACACGTATGCATCATCATAAAGTACGAATATTTCTTCGTGACTTATTTCTGTATCGTATGAAAAGCATGCAAACAATACCCTTTAGAATGCGGAAATGGAAAACTCACAGAACCCAAAATTA